AGACCCAAAGCCTTGCAACTAAAACCCAAACCTTGCAACTAAAGCCCCAAATCCAGAACCCCAACCCTCAAAACCTTGCACCTAAAGCTCAGTACCTCGCAATCAGCCTCCAAATCCTGGCACCTAAAAACCCAAAACCTCGCACCCTGCACCCAGGACCCCAAAGCCTTGCATTGAAAGCCCCAAATCTCACACCTGAAACTCAACATCTTCCACCCTTCATCCAACCCTTGCATCGAAAACCGCAAAACCTTGCAACCAGAGCCCAAAGCCTTGCACCAAACCCCCAAATCCTTGCACCTCAAACCCAACGCTGTGCACCCATCACCCAACCCTTGCACCCAAATCCCAAAGCCTTGCACCCAAACCCAAAGCATTGCACCCAAAAATCAAAGCCTTGCACCCAAATCCCAAAGCCTTGCACCCAAAACCCAAAGCCTTGCACCCAAAACCCAAAGCCTTGCACCCAAAGCCTTGCACCCAAAACCCAAAGCCTTGCACCCAAAGCCTTGCACCCAAAACCCAAAGCCTTGCACCCAAAGCCTTGCACCCAAAACCCAAAGCCTTGCACCCAAAGCCTTGCCCCCAAAACCCAAAGCCTTGCACCCAAATCCCAAAGCCTTGCACCCAAAACCCAAAGCCTTGCACCCAAATCCCAAAGACTTGCCCCCAAATCCCAAAGCCTTGCACCCAAATCCCAAAGCCTTGCACCCAAATCCCAAAGCCTTGCACCCAAAGCCTTGCACCCAAATCCCAAAGCCTTGCACCCAAATCCCAAAGCCTTGCCCCCAAAACCCAAAGCCTTGCACCCAAATCCCAAAGCCTTGCACCCAAAGCCTTGCACCCAAAACCCAAAGCCTTGCACCCAAATCCCAAAGCCTTGCACCCAAATCCCAAAGCCTTGCACCCAAAGCCTTGCACCCAAATCCCAAAGCCTTGCACCCAAATCCCAAAGCCTTGCCCCCAAAACCCAAAGCCTTGCACCCAAATCCCAAAGCCTTGCACCCAAAATCCCAAAGCCTTGCACCCAAAACCCAAAGCCTTGCCCCCAAAACCCAAAGCCTTGCACCCAAATCCCAAAGCCTTGCACCCAAAATCCAAAGCCTTGCACCCAAAACCCAAAGCCTTGCATCCAAATCCCAAAGCCTTGCACCCAAATCCCAAAGCCTTGCACCCAAAGCCTTGCCCCCAAATCCCAAAGCCTTGCCCCCAAAACCCAAAGCCTTGCATCCAAAACTCAAATCCTTGCATCCAAATCTCAAAGCCTTGCACCCAAATCCCAAAACCTTGCACCCAAACCCCAAAGCCTTGCACCCAAATCCCAAAACCTTGCACCCAAATCCCAAAACCTTGCACCCAAATCCCAAAGCCTTGCCCCCAAAACCCAAAGCCTTGCACCCAAACCCAAAGCCTTGCACCCAAATCCTTGCACCCAAAACCCAAAGCCTTGCACCCAAATCCCAAAGCCTTGCCCCCAAACCCAGAGCCTTGCACCCAAATCCCAAAGCCTTGCCCCCAAACCCAAAGCCTTGCACCCAAATCCCAAAGCCTTGCACCCAAATCCCAAAGCCCTGCACCCAAATCCCAAAGCCCTGCACCCAAAACCCAAAGCCTTGCACCCAAAACCCAAAGCCTTGCACCCAAAACCCAAAGCCCTGCACCCAAATCCCAAAGCCCTGCCCCCAAAACCAAAGCCTTGCCCCCAAATCCCAAAGCCCTGCACCAAAATCCCAAAGCCTTGCACCCAAACCCAAAGCCTTGCACCCAAAGCCTTGCACCCAAATCCCAAAGCCTTGCACCCAAAGCCCTGCACCCAAATCCCAAAGCCTTGCACCCAAACCCAAAGCCTTGCACCCAAAGCCCTGCACCCAAATCCCAAAGCCTTGCCCCCAAAACCCAAAGCCTTGCACCCAAAGCCTTGCACCCAAATCCCAAAGCCTTGCACCCAAATCCCAAAGCCTTGCACCCAAAACCCAAATCCTTGCCCCCAAATCCCAAAGCCTTGCACCCAAAGCCTTGCCCCCAAAACCCAAAGCCTTGCACCCAAATCCCAAAGCCTTGCATCCAAAGCCTTGCACCCAAATCCCAAAGCCTTGCACCCAAATCCCAAAGCCTTGCCCCCAAATCCCAAAGCCTTGCACCCTGCCCCCAAATCCTTGCACTCAATCCCCAAATCCTTGCACCCAGGACCCGAAATCCTGCATCTCAGAGCCCAAACCTCGCAGCAAGAGGCCCAGGCGTTGCAGCCAGCGCCCCACGCACCTCTTGTCGGACGGGTAGAGCTCCACCGTGAGCACATCCAGGGAGTTCCAGGAGGCGATGCTGACGCCACCGAAGAGGCAGAGCAGCGCGATCATGGCAGATTCGCTGTTCCCAAAGGAGAGGAAGAAGCAGCTGACGCAGGACATCACGCTGGAGCCGGCTGTGGGGGGACAGAGTGTAAAGGGGGGGGATGAGGGAGCAGGGGGGAAACGGAGGCAGTGGAGGGGGGCACTGGGATGGGAGAGGGGGGAAAATGGGGCAGAAAGGGGGAGGATGAAGCAGGAGGGAGGGAAACTGAGGCAAATATGGGGAAACGGAGGGGAAGGGAGGGGAGGGGAGGGGAGGGGAGGGGAGGGAAGGGAAGGGAAGGGAAGGGAAGGGAAGGGAAGGGAAGGGAAGGGAAGGGAAGGGAAGGGAAGGGAAGGGAAGGGAAGGGAAGGGAAGGGAAGGGAAGGAAGGGAAGGGAAGGGAAGGGAAGGGAAGGGAAGGGAAGGGAAGGGAAGGGAAGGGAAGGGAAGGGAAGAGGACACTGGGATAGGAGAGGGAGGAAACTGAGGCAGGAGAGAGGAAAATGGGGGAGGAGATGGGGAAACTGAGGCATCAGGTGGGCACTGGGAGACAAGAGGGGAGGAAACGGGGCAGAAAGGGGGAAAGTGAAGCAGCAGAGAGGGAAATTAAGGCCAATAAGGGGAAGCTGAGGCAGGAGAGGGAAAACAGGGGAGGAAAGGGGGAAACCGAGGCAGCAGGGGGCACACGGAGTCAGGAGAGGGGAAAACGGGAGAGGAAAGGGGGAAATGGAAGCAGGAGAGGGGGAGGCCGAGGCAGCGGCGCCCACCCAGCATGCGGAGGCGGCCGATCTTGTCCATGAGCAGCGCTGAGACGATGTTCCCGGGCAGCACGGCCAGGGTGCCCAGGAAGCTGACAAAGTAGATCATGTAGGCGTTGTTGTCGTCGCTGAAGTCCAGCTGGCAGCCCTCCTTGTTGTGCAGGAAGGTGCTGTTCAGCAGGCGGCTGTTGATGAACTTGTACTCGAAGAGGTCTGGGGGGAGGCAGGCGGAGGGGGGGGCTTTGGAGGCCGCCCTCCCTGCTCCCGTCTGCCCCCCTCCCACCTCGCTTCCCCTCCCCTCGACCCAAACCTGTGTTGTAGAAGATGGTGGAGATGAAGGTGCAGTTCTTGAAGAAGGTGTTGCTGGAGGTGATGTCCTCGAAGTAGCAGTCCTCAAACAGCGAGTCCTCGAACGTCACCGACTTCATCTTCAGCCCAATGAACCTGGGGGGGGGGGAAGGGGGGGACACAGCCATCAGCCCCATGTGGGCACCACCAGCCCCGACCCAACGCCACCAGCCCTGTCCCAGTGCCACTCACCCCGTACTGCTACCGTCGGCCCCATCCTGACACCCCCACCATCGTCCCATTGCTCCTGTTTCCATCCCAGTGCTCCCAGCCCCGTCCCAGTGCCACAGAGCCTGCACAGCTGCACCGACCCCATCCCAACGCCCCCATCGCAGCCTCATCTCACTGCTCCCGTTTCCTCCCCAGTGCCTCCAGCCCCATCCCAAAGCCCCCAGCCCCGTCCCAATGCCTCTAGCTTCATTCCAATGCTCCCAGCACCATCCCAAAGTCCCCAACCCATCCCAACGCCCCCAGCCCTGCCCCAGTGCCCCCACAGCCCCATCCCAATGCCCCCAGCCCTTCCCCAATGTCCCCAATCCCATCCCAATGCCCCCAGCCCTGCCCCAAAGCCCCCAGCCCCGTCCCAATGCCTCTACCCTCATTGCAATGCCCCCAGCACCCTCCCAGAGGCCCCAACCCATCCCAAAACCCCCAGCCCTGCCCCAAAGCCCCCAGCCCCGTCCCAATGCCTCTACCCTCATTGCAATGCCCCCAGCACCCTCCCAGAGGCCCCATCCCCATCCCAACGCCTCCAGCCCTGCCCCAATGTCCCCAATCCCATCCCAATGCCCCCAGCGCTTCCCCAATGTCCCCAATCCCATCCCAACGCCCCCAGCCCTGCCCCAAAGCCCTCAGCCCTGTCCTAATGCCTCTACCCTCATTGCAATGCCTCCAGCACCCTCCCAGAGGCCCCATCCCAACGCCTCCAGCCCCATCCTAATGCCCCCACAGCCCCATCCCAACGCCCCCAGCCCCATCCTAATGCCTCTACCCTCATTGCAATGCCCCCAGCGCCCTCCCAGAGGCCCCATCCCCATCCCAACGCCTCCAGCCCTGCCCCAATGCCCCCACAGCCCCATCCCAATGCCCCCAGCCCTTCCCCAATGTCCCCAATCCCATCCCAACGCCCCCAGCCCTGCCCCAAAGCCCCCAGCCCCATCCTAATACCTCTACCCTCATTGCAATGCCCCCAGCACCCTCCCAGAGGCCCCATACCCATCCCAACACCCCCAGCCCTACCCCAGTGCCCCCACAGCCCCATCCCAATGCCCCCAGCCCTGCCCCAATGTCCCCAATCCCATCTCAATGCCTCCAGCCCTTCCCCAATGTCCCCAATCCCATCCCAATGCCCCCAGCCCTGCCTCAAAGCCCCCAGCCCCGTCCCAATGCCTCTACCCTCATCCCAATGCCCCCAGCCCCATCCCAATGCCCCCAGCCCCATCCCAGTGTCCCCACAGCCCCATCCCAACACTCCCAGCCCTGCCCCAACGTCCCCAATCCCATCCCAATGCCCCCAGCCCCATCCCAATGCCCCCAGCCCCATCCTAATGCTTCTACCCTCATTGCAATGCCCCCAGCACCCTCCCAGAGGCCCCATCCCCATCTCAATGTCTCCAGCCCTACCCCAATGCCCCCACAGCCCCATCCCAAAGCCCCCAGCCCCGTCCTATTGCCTCTAGCCTCATCCGATCCCTGTATCCCCAACACCCCCAGCTCTGTTCCAATGCCCCCAGCCCCCATCTCATTGCTCCTGTTCCCATCCCAGCGCCCCCAGCCCCATCCCACTGCCCCCACCACCCACTTGTCATTGAAGTACTCCCCGCCCTGGTGGATCTGGTTCTCCAGGGTGAAGTTGAAGGTGAAGTGCCGGACCTTCTCGCGGGTGAAGAGCTTGGTGCGTGACGCGTACTCGATGTTCTGCAGGTGCTTGATCATGTCTGGGAACCACACCGTCAGCCCGTAGTAACTGTGGGGCGAGAGGAGCTGAGCCTGGCACCCTGCGCCCACCCTGTCCCCACGCCAGTACCACCAGCTCCATCCCAGCGCCATCATCTTATCCCTGCGCCCCCATCCCCATCCCAACGCCATCAGCCCCCATACCAGCACCACCAGCCCCATCCCAGCGCCATCAACCTCATCCCAGTGTCCCTGTCCCCATCCCAATGCCATCAGCCCCATCCCAGTGCCCCCAGTCCCCACGCCAGTACCACCAGTTCCAGCCCAGCGCCATCAGTCTCATCCCAGTGTCCCCATCCCCATCCCAACGCCATCAGCCCCCATACCAGCACCACCAGCCCGATCCCAATGCCATCAACCTCATCCCAGCGCCCCTGTCCCCATCCCAGTGCCATCAACCTCATCCCAGTGTCCCAGTCCCCATCCCAATGCCATCAGCCCCATCCCAACGCCATCAGCCCCATCCCAATGCCATCAGCCCCCATACCAGCACCACCAGTCCCATGCCAGTGCTGTCAACCTCATCCCAATACCACCGGTCCCATACCAGTATCATCAGCCTGCTCTCACTGCCCCTGCCCCATTCTCAGCCCCATCCCAAAGCCCCCAGCCCATCCCATTGCCCCCAGCCCCATTCCCAGTCCGCTTCCATCACTCCCGTTCCCATCTCAATGCCCCCAGCCCCATCCCATTGCTCCCAGCCTCATTTCCAGCCCCATCCCAATGCCCCCAGTCCTGTCCCATTGCCTCCAGCCCCATCCCATCACTCCTCTCCCCATCCCTTTACCTCCAGCCCCATTCCAGTTTCGTTGCTCCTGTACCCACTCCATTGCCCCCAGCCCCATCCCCTCTCTCCTGTACCCACTCCATCTCCCCCAGCCCCATCCCCTCTCTCCTGTACCCACCCCATTGCCCCCAGCCCCATTCCCAGCCCCACTCCATCACTCCTGCACCCAGCCCAATGCCCCCCATCCCAGGGACCCACCCAGACCCCACCTGAAGCTCATGGTGAACCACACAGCCATCATCATCAGCGTGATGCGGCGGTACTCGGGCGCGAAGCACTGCTGGAAGTTGCTCCAAACCTGCAGGGTTGGAGGATGAGAGGTGGGACAACAGGACACAGCAGGGACCCCACGGCTGTGGGGCTGAACCCGACCCCATACCTGCTGCGAGAGGCTGAGGCAGCGCACCAACCAGCGGCGGTGCCACGCGCCCGTGTCCGCCTGGATCTCAATCAGCTCGTCCTCCCTCTTGATGGTCTTG